TATTATAATGTAAATATTACCAAACATAATGTCATGCAGAAAAATCACAACTTATGGTGATTAACATTATTTTATATAAACCAAAACTTTTCGAGTAAAGACAAACTAGGTCACATAGATAGTTATGAATTTAAAAACGATGCCGCGTAAATAAATAAAACAATCTCATTAATCTCCATCTGATACAATCCCCATAAATTTGAAATTAAATATTACCTAATTAACGTAATTGGAACGGGTGAGCATTTATTCAGCTGTAGTCTCGAACTGTACGGGTTACAGGGTCTACGTTACAAGAGTCAGGTTTTTGTCACCTAATAAAAAGCTTTAATAAATAACGTTTATCACAAATATAGGTGAAGGCTCAGGGCGATGTGGGGATCATATGCGCTCCTGAACTCAGGCATTCTACCGTTGTAGGATGGCTTGAATTACTTACGTAAGGACATCTACCGACTTGTCGTGCTTCGCAGCTTTCGTTACATTACTTCTCCTTTTTGCTCGGTACATACGCCATTGGTCCGCGCACAAAACGTCGATCGCGCCATTTATGTCCGAAGTTCGAAAGTTACTAACAATTAGTCCCCCGTATTCCAGCCTATTATCATTTGATTTTAAGGTGCATCTGCACTATTAGTTATTTGAAGAATTGAACGCTATTCATTCCCAACTTTTAGCGTACATTTGTATTATTTCAATATCACTGATTAACCATGCTATTGTTTAACTTAAAAGTTTATTATATATACCTCATCGACAATTATTACTTATTTTAATAAATGCACTTGCTACAGATAATTAAGTGTAGTTATTAGTATAATAAATTTATGAAACTCATAGATTTGAAAGTATTTCCTGAATAAATAATATTATTATTTGAAAAGATGGCTAAATAAAAAATTGTATTTCAATAAAATAAATAAACAGTACATAATTCAAATAGATAAAATATTTTTAACCATCTAAAGAATAAGAAAAGTACAATAATGATTTATAATCGAGCGAGAATAGCTTGTATTTAATATTTAATATTTATATTATATTTAATATTTAATATCTTATATTTAATATTCGAATCGGCCGTGATATCTGTAAATAATTTTACATAAAATACTCTAATGAAGATGCGATTAGTAACAACATATTCAAAGAAACGTATCAGAGTTACAAATAAACAATTTTTAAAGGTAACTCAGAAAAAATGTTTTTTTTTGCGATTTTTTTCCGTTTATGGATGATGGAAAATAAGATATGTAGATTTTTTAATGATAAAATTAGTAGGAGAAAATATTAAATAAAGAGCTTAAAAGATAGTAAATACATATTGGGCCTATAGATGTATGTAAATTATGCTGTAAAATCGCTCTGGGCGTAAAATCTTTACAAACTATGGATTTGCACTCGAAAGATCGAATAAAATGTTTTATTTTAAATTATCAAATTGTGTGTGCCGGTAAGATGTGTTTTTTGTCGGACGTATTTTTGTTAAGCATGATTTATGTTTGATTTAATTCATTAGTTACGAGTTTAAACTCGCGCCAGAATCTTTGGTTTTTCAGAGAAGATTCAGACAAGATTGAAATGAAACAATAAAATAACCCAATGAAATTTTTCACATCAATGACATAGATATTGTATATTAATAATAGCTCTTGACTTCTATTACCACTTTGATACGTTTGAGAGTAAAAAGTATTAGTCACTATATTGTATTTAGTCAAATTAAAGCAATTTAATATTTAAACATTATTTCAACATATTTTCTCTATACCAATTATTGTACGATATTAACAAATCTACAATTACTTTATAAAGAACATTTAATATAGAAAAAAAACGAATAATGTATTATTTAGATTTTTATTTCAAATACTGGCTGACTGCTTATGTCATAGGAGCAATGAAGAATTAGTTCTGATAATAGTTACATATAGACAATAGACGAATATATATTCGTAGATTTATTTTATATTTAATATTACCATTAATAGAAAAAAATCACTAAACTTGATAGCCTGTGAATTTATCATTATTGGTTGGTTCCTAATGCCATTTTGAAAAATTTTCTCCAATTTCAAAACAATTTTTGTATAAAAAAAATTAAAGAATGCATAGTATACATTTAATTGTGTATCAAATATTGTATTCACTATTTAAAATGACTAATAGCTATAAAGTAGCATTTATATCAAATAAAATTAATTATTTGTATTATTTTTAATCTTAATTTTGGAGAATTTTCTTATGCATAATAATCTTATACATAATAGTTTTAAAATAAAAAAAAAAAAAAAAATAATTTTCATATTTTAGTTATAAAACACAATATAGTCTATCAGTTTCTTACATTACACATGGTTTTCTAGTTTATATTTTTACGATAATAGAAAATTAGAAATAACTATTTTTCCATTTTTTTATACGTTATTTTAAACAGTTTGAATTTAATCTTTGGCATAAGACCCTTAATATCAATATGTTAATCCAAATTGAAAACCAGTGGTAATTATATATTTTTGCCAATTTACTCTATTTCAATTATTTTTCCACGTAAATTTTTCTGATAAAATAACCTGGAATTTGGAAGAATATTATTAAAAATAATATTTAAAAGATATTAATTTCACAACACAGCATTGTGGTTATTAACCAAATTTTCCTGAAAAGTTTAACAAAAGAAAAAAAGAAGCGGAATTAGACGCAAAACTAAGCAAAGGAGCGATTCCTTTTTCAAGCTTAACGGTTACTCGTCGATTCCGCAATCGGTGGGAAATGGAAAGAAGAAAAGCTTGAGAGCGGTTAAGCGACCTCTGCGAGAGAGCGTCGATGCAACCCGACATGGAGACCTCCGATTTCAAATAGTAGGCTCTCTTTTTCCGAGGACAGTTGGTCTCTTATTTGTTCCCTTTTCTTCCTTTTCTTTATTGTCATTCGATACGTGAGATAGATGAATGACAATTGCGGCTGCAAAGGACGCGGCTTTTCTTTGCCATGGCCTGGAAAATGTTCACTCGACTGTCTTTTATATCGCAAATGTTTACCATACTTTCGAGTACTTTCTTAATTTTCTATAAATTTAACTTTAAATATTACTCCAGCGTAAGCACTTAAAAGATAAATATGGAAATAAAGTATACCGATTCACAAGCATTGTACTTTTGGAAAATATTTTAATTCTCTCATTTAAAACTGTTTTCAGGCTTCTATACGAAAGCGCTTTATATTCTTTATTTCAGGCAGTATCGCGTGTGATAAAACTACGTTTGTTTTGGATAACTCATGTCGCCGAATTGTTTGTCAATTGTATGGACTATTTTTTGAAATTCCATTAATTACATCGGTATAACGACGTGATCAATTATTAGTATTATTTGTCAATTATTTACTAATTCTAATTCATGTACCAAAGTTGATAGAATTTAAGATGAAAATTCGCGATAAACATTTAAATGTGTTTTATAACTAAATTGTTTACTAATAATTTTGAACATCGTTACCATCCAAATACAATATGGCGCGCTTCTTGTAGATCGATGATGTAGATTAAATCTAGAGATTTATATTAGAAACTGATTTTACTTTAAACTGATTTACTCTCCAATAGGATTTAGACGCATAAACGACTAAACATACAACAAACAACAAAGCTTGCCGGCGTTAGTAGGCAACGTATATCATAATGAAATTGGTACGTCTTACTAATGACAATGCCGTGGAATTAAGAGTCGAATGTGGAAAATATAGTCATACATGAATAAAATTGTTACGATTCTGAACATCATCCTAATAGTTTTCTATACCAATATAAGTTGAAATTTATATTGAATTTATACAGAAATTTATTAAAAATCATTTTATTTATAATTGTTTTCGTTTATCTAATTTATGTATTTCGTATTCTGATCGTGAATTGTGAACATAATTACTGATCGTGAATAATACTTAAAACTTTCGATACCTCATCGATAATAAGTACAGTGATTCTTTGGTCTACTTTATATTTGGTAATTATCAATCTTACATAAAATACACAAATCCGTATAAAACCAAAAAAATTTATTTAGAATGAAAATGAATCATACAAAAATGTTACGGTCGATTTTTCTTTAGGAATAAAAATTTACTTTAATAATTTTTTTTATATTAAATAAATATTTGATATTGATTTCAATATATTTTATGAGGGAAGCTTTAAGTTACCCACGTATCTACATTGTTATTACATGAGTCTTGATAAATTTTGATATAAATAATTTGAGAAAATAGTCAACAATATACTATGACATTATTTCTAGATAGATATAATCGATTGTTGGTGAAACTGTAATTTTGTTTTTATTTATAAAATTCGGAATATTCAGACGTTAAAACTTTGCTAAAAACTAAAAATCCCAGAAAAATAATAATTGGATTGAAGCGCTTAATTCGTAAAAATATCAATGATAAGTAATACGAATTAATGTAAAACAAATTAATGAATCAAGTGATGGTCAATATTAACCAAACCATCTTCGCTCGGATATTTAGTACTGTATTCGTTAGAAAATAATTGACATCACTAAAAGCTTCATCCTTCTAATTTTTTCATTCCTGCACAATGCATCGAAAATTTAATTTTTTACTTGTAGCATATTGCCTACTAATACTGCTACATCCGCCGATCTTTTCTTGTTTTTCGACAAGTATTGTCCGCGAATAGTAATATTTCCTCTGCATTTCTGATAGCCCTCTTAGAAAACGAGACAATAAATATACTCCTTTAGGTACGTAGCCAAGGTAGTTCATATCGAATCATAGTTGTATGCGTTCGAAGAAGGAAAAGGAAACTGGGAAGGAAGTCAAGGCTCTCGTGAGAGCGATTTCCTGGGTCGGAGTGCCACTTTTATACGTGTAAGCACTTCTGTGCTCGGAGATGACGAGCGGCATAGATGCAGTGGGCCTTCCGTGAAGATTCCATCGAATGAAATTAAGGAGAAAAGAGGAGAAGTGTTACAACTTACCGCAAGCGATCAGTTCAGGTGAGACAAGGCCCGAGAGGTCGGGCTCCTCGCCGTACCAAAATATCCAGAGCTCCTTAGCTGCCTGAAGGGAAAGCGGCGGGGGCGCCGGTGAGGGCGCTATTGAGTTGAGGTCGAAAAGATTAGTCGCCGCTACGGCGTGGCCCTGGGAGTTCACCTGGGAGGCGGAGACGCGCCGCCAGACGCAAAGGATATCGCCGGCGAGGCAACGCGAGAAGCTCGACAGCACTGGATCCTCGAGTAGGGTTCCGCCGAATCCACCAGCGATCTCGCCCCACACCAGCTTCCTCCATTTTATCCCGCAGAGATCCGTCTGCAATAATACATCAGTTTTCATTTCTGCAGCTCTTGCGAGGCGATAATAATAAAAAACCACTCGCCCTTTTAATCCTCAGTCTTATTTACAATGACACCTGATGCAAATGCCAGCACATGATAATACAGTGATTTTTTCACGATTGTGATGCACTCATACACAATACATAAGCACATTTTCAACATACTTCAGATAATATGTGTAAATTTTATATCAAAGTTATAATAATTCAATTACGCGTATATGAAAAAATATTATCAATATTTTATATCTATCTTAAATTATTGAACACTATAAATAACTATTATAATTAGTTAAAGAGATTTAATAAATAAGTAGCCTTGCACATAATAAAATGAAAGGTGCGATATTATTTACGATTTCATTAAATGTGTTTCGCTTTTATAAAGTGCTAAAAACCGAGTCAATTCGAGAATAAAAACATGTCATGTGACGTCAAACGAGCACTTCTGATATCAGAACAATTAAAACTCAATTTAACCGATAAGGCAATGCATGCGGCTGGGAGAACTCGTTAAGACTCATAGTTACTAAATATCTGTGGGAATTCGACCAAAAGCTCAGTATACTCGATTAACAATGCTTCATATACCGTTTTCATTGCGCCTCATATTTATTGCTGCTTCACTTATTTTATTTACACAACTATTGTACAAATTATATATGTTAAAGATCAAAGTATAATAGTAAAACAAAATATACAATCCTATTTAATGCAAATACCTTGTCCGATAACATTTATTTCAAATTTAATACGAACGAAAATATAACAAGACATGAACAGCTATTAAGATTAAGTAATTTAATTAAAATATTTCAAATCATGTATAAAGTTTTTAATACCATAATTTAAAAAAAAAAAAGAAGAAAAACTTTATTGACAAAATTATATTGAATGTATTTACTACAAAATACGACCACGCGTAAACGAACTTCTATGTTCGAAATAGTTAATACGAAACAATTATAATCATATAATTGACCACCAAATGATTATTTCAATATTCTGCTTATCCCCAAGTTCTTTTTCTATAATATTCACTCTAATGAATTAAAAAAATTCTTAGGAATCTCTAAACGATTTTCAATATTATGATTTTGACAATTATTATGATACAATCATGATATTCAAATAAAAATTAAACTTATAGATTGCATTAATAAAAAAAAAGTTTGAAATTAAATGGTACACTTTATTCATTAAAATCCGATGTTACTTAAGTTTAGCAAATTTATCATTTAAAATTAAAAAAGAAATGGTATGTCCACAATGACTACATTTGTTTTTTTTTATCATTAAAAACATTCCATTACTATACAGACAACTAATGGAATAAAAGTTAGTGTCAACCAACTCATTAAAAACTCAAAAATATATGAATATAATCAGCGGACTTCGAAAAGCAAACGACTTATTGATAATGCATATAGTTAACTGAACATAATGTTTGTTCGATACGAAACAAGTTTTTCGGCTGTAGATAAGTCTCTGATCAATAACAATCTAGTTTTACCGATTCACGTAAAAAAAAATAGACAGAATTTTGCATTGAACTCGTGCGTATGTGTACATATATGCAGCATTAGCTCATTTTCGCACGTCTTTGGCTATTCTCGTCGTGTCGACAATTTGATATTGCATATACGATGTACGAAGTGAGTAAATGAAGGGTGGGAGATTTAAAATCGTGGAACGTAAATATATCGGAAGGTCGACACCAGTTCCGAGTCACGATAAAGAAAAAAGATATACGATTACAGTTTGAAGCATAGCAGAGCGAAATTATAATGTTGCTTTCGCGAATGAGTCGCATTACAGGTTGTGAAATAATTGAAGCAAACGAGTAAGACTCGTGTAAGAAATAATGTAGCTATAGAAATGCCGGTAAACTAAGTTAAATATTAAATATGATGATTTCGATGGCAATACAAGTTTATTTAAATATAATTTTTACATGTATTCGGTTTGCTACATATTCGTTATATTACAATACTGGCAATTTTAGTTATTTTCACATTATTTATCTTATATTTGCATTGTGTTAAAGGTCTTGTATAATTAATTTTTATATGGTATTCTAAATCAGAAGTTATGCATTAATATTTCTTTTCATTTAAATTGTTACTAATTACTTTTGTATTATTACTTATTAATTATTGACGAAATTAGGTGATCATAAAAGAATTCAATTAAAAAATAACACATAAAAAAATTTCATTACAAACTGAGTGTATTTATTTATTTTTACCAAATATAGTTAAATATATTAACAAAATAATAATAAAATAATAAAATAGTTAAAATATACTATTAATGGATATATTTTTTCTTAAACAAATATGATAAAATTATTTAATAAAAACTTCAGTATAGGAAATTCAAATCAAAAGTACAACAAATTGACATAATACTGTCCATAAAACTTATAAATAAATAAATGAATTCTACAACCTACTTCTACAACTCAACTCTAACTTTTGCGCATTTTCTTGGATTTACCTAGAATTGAGTACATTTTCGCTGTTTCTTCATGACATGAAATAACGAATATGACATAATACGGTATAATCGGGTATTTTAAATTAAATTTCTTGATAATTACTATAAAATTAATATATAAAATTTGCATTTTAAATATACAAGGTAGAATGTATTTTCCTTAAATTTTTTTTTTCTAACTACTGAAATTATTGATATTACAATTACAATATTTCATTATTAAAATTACACAATATTAAAAAAACACATGCAATTCTAGATTTTTAAAAATAAATATTACAATAAGAGATTATTTTCTAATATAATATAATTATATTTTAATAAAATCATTAAAAACTAGTAATAATAACTATTATTATCGTATAGCAATAAAAAGGAAAAGTATAATGTGCATAAATTGATACTTGCATATTCATTATAAGTTAGAAACATGTAGAATGACGAAAAGAATAACGAAAAAAGAAATATGCGGATAATGTTTACAGAAAAATATAAGGATAAAATTATCGAAGACACGTGTTATTGAGTGCATTAAAAAGGTTGGGAACAATGTCTCAAACAAGCTGATATCTCTCTCTCTCTCTCTCTCTCTCTCTCTCTCTCTCTCTCTCTGTGTGTGTGTGTGTGTGTGTGTGTGTGTGTGTGTGTGTGTGTGTGTGTGTAACAGGCTAAGCATGAAAGCATCTATTACGCCATTTTAATAAGATTTTATGGGCTAGAACTTCTACGCGATTAATTATAAACGTTAATTTTTAAAATAAACAAGCATCAGTAACATAACTATTATTTGCAAAATAAAGTTCCTTGAATATATAAAATTTGTAATTAAAATGGTAAAATAATTTTCATCATTTTTATTTCAATAATTTGATAAATATTTTATATGTGTATTAATTCATTCTACCTAAAAATTCTCCATGTATCATAAATAAGTAAATGCATTAATAAAAATAAAAATATATATTTATATATTTTTATAAATCGTTTGATTTTACGGGTATAACGGATTCATTTTACAAAAAGTAGAAACGAATTGCTGATGCTTTTTTCTATACACATAAACAAAGGAAATCCACTTCCGCATTGTTATTAAAAAATTCTCGAAGTTTGCCTATGATATTATACATATTATAGTGAAACTGTAAGCATTCAATTTATTAACTATTCTAAATAAAAATCTATAAGTTATTAATAAAAATAAAAATAATTTTTTATAAAATAGATACAATAGATCATAAATGTATAGTACAACGAATAGTATAAGTTCTAATATATTATATCTATTAATAATAAATAGTATTAATTATTATTAAAATTATTAAAATAAATTAAATTAAAATTAAATAAATTTAAAAAAATAAAATTATTAAAATAATAAATAATATAATCTATTAATAATAAATAATAAATTATAGTACAACGAATAGTATAAGTTCTAATACATTATATCTATTAATAATAAATAAATAATAATTATAATTTTTTATAAATTTTTAAATTCAATATCGTTTTAACCTAATTATCATGGATGGTTTTTAATTTGATTAGTATATAAGACATTGAATCTAAAAAGTAATTTCTTTTAAGTATAAATTTATAGATTTGAATATGGTAATAATTCCTTTATCGAAATTAATACTACTGCACTGAAAAGAAATCCGAATCTATATTATAAATTAACACAATGACTTATTTTGTAACATATTTTTGTCATTTATTTAAAGAATATTTACTTCGATAGAAATAATATCAAATATCGCAGGATTGATCGTTAAATGATATATCCAAGTTTTTGAAATAAGAGCAATAAAATATGGAAAACTATGATTCAAAATTATTCATGATTATAAAATTATTATGATTTAAATTATTTCTTAGTGTAACTAAACTTTCAATTAATTTTTAATTATTATAACAAGAAGAATAATTGCTTGTTTTTATATAAAATATTTATGAGTGGTAACTACTCGTAATCAGACATTAAGCTTACAATAAACTAATTAAAAGAAAGTAGGCACGTAAACCTTTTTCATTTCCTGAAAAGTACCGGGTAAGTAGCCAAATAATTATTTTTGATAAAATTGTTGTTCTTGTTGTAGGACTTCGATTAGAAAAGGGAAAATCGTTTCGACAATCGATCCAACCATTCACGAACTGTAACGAAGTACAATAAAATATAAAAATACTTTGCAAATACTAATTATATGTAATACTGACAACTTACTTATTGGTACTGAAACTTCATATTATATAGATGTTAAAAGTATTTTTTAATGTTGCATAAAATAAGTGTTAAAAAACAATAAGAAAATCAAAAATATATTGCTAATTATTTTAAAACAAACTTGTTCTAGACTTTCAAGCAATAAAATATTTTGTCTATTTATCTATAAATCTAAACAATCTATATAGAAAATATATTGAAATTTATATTTCATAATATTTTACTGATACTGATTTGAATTATTTATATCAA